ACTCTCTCTTATGAAAGGTTGTTTCATGTTGATCTGCAACTGGAATTTGGCCATTGATGACTTCCAGCTCAGTGTTGTTACATGCAAGCTGCTACAGCTGGTTGCCATGTCAGGATGAGATAAATGAAGGTGGTCTATTGCAATGCTCTTGGTGAATAGTGAACTCTGAGATTGCAGTTGGAAAATAAACTCAAATTTCTGGTGTTTGATGGTACAAAGTTACAACAGAATAGCTTGTTGTTTCTTAAGTTATGAGTTCATTTATTAATTTTTATGGATCATGTTCTTTCATCATTCATCAAACAATTTGATGTAATTCTAAGAATTTGAATGATTGTCTAAGGGCCAAAACTTAGTTACACTGACAGTCTATGTTAATTTTCTGCAACTTGACTCTTTTTTTCCGCAATGAAATAAATTTCTTTTGTGCAACAAATACTTTGATAATGCTGCAATTCATCTACCAGTTGCAACTCATTTTGATTGCTTTCAATCATATGTACAATAAATTAAGTCAAGGCTCAATTCCAAAAGAGACTTCAAGAGTACAGTGTACGATACCAAGAGAGCTTTAACAACCCACAGCTACTGAAACTACTAAAATTTTCTTCTATTCATCCTTCCAAACTACCTTCAAGAAACACCATAAATTTTATCACTAAATTGTTGATATAAGTTTCCACAAAAGTTTCTTAATGCCATAGCATCACTAAAATATCCAAGTTCATTCTTCAATTTCCACCCATCAATCGGAATTGATCAAATTGCCGTATAAGACTTACCTTATCAGATTCGAGCAAAAAAATTACGATCTCGATAATGATCTGAATCTACTCTCCCGTAAAATTTCCAAAAACTACTCTACATCCCAATCCCAATCCCTGCCCTCGACTAGATCGATGGATCTCTAAACACGACGAGATTGTATCATGCCCAACTTTGATTATTTTCCCAATGTCGCCGCTGGTGCAAAAGTCGCACGGAGTGGTGAGGGTGGTAGGTGAGTCTCCTGAAAAAAGAACGATGTTTGGAGGGGGAAGGAGAGAGAATAAAATTTTTGATAAAGGAAATAAGATGAGAGATCTGCGGGAGGAAGATAAGGGGGGGTTTGACTTAGTGATGGGCAAATGTGAAAAAAAAATAAAAAATTATTCTGGATGCAAGAAATTGTTCTGACAAAATCGCCCCCCCAACTAAATATTATCTCTATGCATTTTATTCTTTTTATAACTCTTCTGCATCGTAAACATTCATATTATTAGATATTTATAACAATATTTTCTATTTATATATCAACAAAGTAAAGTTGCAAACAGTGGTATGGGCTGAGAATCTGGTATGTATTGATAAAATAGATTGAATTTGTGCACATACAAATGTACATGATTTGACTTTGAGACATAATGCAAATACCAATAGAGAATAAATATGGGACAATATCGTTAAAAATCACACCCTCAGTTAAAATACTCATTTTGCAATGCGAGAAAAGTAAACTAAACTTTCTATCAAGTACTAACTTGAACTAAATGGCTCAACTGAGCAAAAAAAGAAAACTGAACTTTCTTTTGAATTACAAACTTAAATTAAGTGGATCAATCAATACTATCTCAATCAAACTCTTGTGGGATTTAATTTGTTTTCTTAGTGGAAGATTTTTGTTGGACGGTAAAATATTTGTTTTTAGAAAGATTATGTTTTCATTTGTAACATAAACATTACATTTTTAACACAAGTATAGTAGAACTTCTATAAATTAATAGTGTTGGAACCAACAAAATTTATTAATTTAGCAAATTATTATATAATCAATAAATTAATAAATTATTAATTTAAATAATTCGCATGAGAAAAAGAGAACCGTCATTAAATTACTTAAGTTGTAGTTGTCTTTACATCCGAATCAATCAAACATTAAAACTATTCTGAACACTAAAAATACATACATAGTTCATATCATTTTTAGGGACTAAAAAGCAAGTACTAATAGTTCATATTTTATTAAATATTTATAGTAATTATTATTATTTTTTGTTATTAGGGCATTTATTAATTTATAGTATTATTGGGACCTATAGATATATAAGAGATTTTTTGAAACATTTTATCATTTTATCGATTTTCTCTATTTTTTGTACTGGTCCTAAGTTGGGACCGGAAAAAATTATTAATTATTAGAAGTTATTAATTTATAGATTATTAATCTACCGACGTTTTACTAGTATGTTTTCGACTTGGTTCGTGAAACCCCGCTATTCCAATTCGTATTTGGTAATTGCTTTTTTCCTTTTCTTGTATTCCAATTCCAAAACCAAAAAGGATACGTTGCAGAACTCTTTCTCTCTCTCTCTATATATATATATTTCTCTCTCTCTCTATATATATACATCTTACTATATTAGAAACAAAAACCACACTTAAAGAAAGCACCACCATTTGCCATGTGGCATTTTCACTTCATATTTTTAAAATAAATTTTTATTTGCACATTAGTTTTCTAGACTTAAAAGACAAATACAGTCCAAATCCACCTCCACCTCCTATTTTCGCCAAAAAAAAATAAAAATAAAAATCGCAGATTCATAAAAACCCCAAATCCTCATCCCCATCTCTACGACAATCGACTCCTTAATCAATCCCTTCTCCACAATAAAAAAAAAAAACAAATTCCTCATCAATCATCAACTGAGAATATGTGGTGAAATATACTCCTTTCCTATTAGCATGTTCAATCTTTTCATTAGTGATGATCAGCTACATCCTAATGGGATAAAATTTCGATTTCAAGAAATATTATCTTTACCTCTCTATATAAACACAAAGAAAAAAAAATTAAAAATTTTCATTGATCTTGCTTTGGCCGTTGTGGTGATGCCATTACAAATATTAAAATTTAAATGATTTTATTTCCACAAATCATTTGTTTGGCTTTTTTTTATATTTTATTTTTCCCGTTCAAGAATAGTGTTATTACTATTAGTTTTATGCGACCACCCGTTACAGCTACCGTAGCCGTTGCCAGGTAATATGATGCAATTTCTTATATGGTTAGTTAGCCTAGAATTTTTGTATGATTTTAGTTCTATTTGGATTGAATTGATCAATTGGGTTTTTGTTACAAAGTATGGTTTTTTTAATTTCTTTTTTATGTTTCATTTCATTAGAGTGGTTTTTTTTTTAATTATGGAGTCTTAATTTTTTTTTCTTATATGGTCAGTTTTGAAGTGTGTTTTTTCTTTGTTTAAATTTTTTTTATTTTGTTTCATACTCCCAGTTGATCAATTATTATTATTATTATTTTTTGGCAAATGAAGTGTGCTTTTTTTTTTTTTTGTTTGGACTTTCAAGAATATACTTTTTTGGATTTGGTTTTTGGACTTTTTTGAGTTTCTCATCATATAAATAGTTCAGGTTGTTTCTTCTAACTAATTCATGGGGAAGTCTTTTATGAATTTGAGGTGGAGAGGGAAGGAATGATGTTTCTACGTTTATTTGTATTTTTATACATCATTTTTACCTACAGGAAAAAAAGATAATTTCTCAATTTTTAATGGGCTCTTTTACTTTTTTTTAATTATTTTATTTGCCATGGTGAGGTGAATTATTTTTTGCTATAACTTCAAACCTCTGCAAATTTACATTAATTTTCATTCTCATATTTGTGATCAACCTGTTTCAAAAATTAACTAGTTTCAAAACTATATTTTGATATTTTACTACCTTTAAACTTTTGGAAGAAATAATTCCAACAATTAAGCGTATACCCTTTGGAGGAATCTTACTACAAAGCTATTATAAATCTCCAAAACTAAGTATTTATTTGGCACGACCAATGGAGAACATCAATAAATCATCTTGCTAATATTTAAACTTATTAAGATACTTTTATATTTTATCTAACATTTACTTCAAGACATATATTTGATCAAGTTTATTTATATTTAATAAGTAACACTATAAATCATTTCTAAGATCTTCAAATATTTTTAAAACGTAACGGGCCAAATACAATTTGTTTTTTTTGCCAAACACAAATATTTCTATGACCACACTTATAAAATATTTCTAAATTCTTCGAGCGTTTCTAAAATATATCGAGCCAAATATAAAATATTTTTTTTCAAATACAAATATTTCTAAGATCTACAGATATATTGGGCCAGGGTAGCGCATTGCGCGACCAGACATCACTAGTATATATATATATATATTACTATTATAAGTTGATCGGATGATTTGTTCTTTTTGACCTGAAATATTGTTTGTTCTTTAGCTGCGGTATTTGTACCAGAAAACTAGGTTTTCCATTCCCGCTGACTCTTTCGTGTGATACTAAATTTACATAGCTGAGGCCATAGAAAAGGAATTGGTGGCCCTGTTTGATAGGGCAAAGAAAGCGGCTGACGCAGCCGCCGGTCAAGTCGGAGTTGATTCCTCAGCGGCGGAGGACCGGTGTATCGATGCTCTGAAGCGGCTCAAGGGCTTTCCAATTAATTGTGATATTCTCTTCTCAACCCAAGTCGGAAAACGTCTCCTGCAACTGACTAAGCATTAAGAAAGAAGATTCAGTCTTTATCTTTTGATGTCCTTGAGTTGTGGAAAGCCACCATGTTGAGTATCCCACATCGGTGGTGGAAAGGTTTGATATCAGTATATAAGTTTATGGTTACTCTCCTCATTACCAATTGATTTTTAGGTGGAACCCTATGAGCTTCTATATGGTATCAAAGCTAGTCCGCCAAAAGTCAGACTCTAAAGCCTGATGTTATAGAACTGATAAGGCTGAGACGTTAACGTGAGGCGGTGACTGGACTGACAAGCCCAACGTGCGGGGGAGTGATGAGTATCCCACATCGGTGGTGGGAAAGGGTGACTGGACTGACAAGCCCAACGTGCGGGGGAGTATTGAGTATCCCACATCGGTGGTGGGAAAAGTTTGATATCAGTATATAAGTTTATGGGCTACTCCCCCATTGCCAATTGATTTTGAGGTGGAACCTATGGACTTCTATAAAGAAACCGTACAAAACAAAAAGAACGTGACCATTGAAAATCAGGGCTCTCTTTTTCTTAAAAGAGAACGTCCTGGCGGAGATTCTGATGAAGATTCCGGCAAAGAAAAGAAGGCTCAAAGTCTAAAATCCATCAAATTAGCCGATGACTCTGATAATAAGAAGATCCAGAAGGTTGAGAAGACGACTGAACAGAGTTTATATTCTTCAGGGGCAGGGCATCTGAATTCAGGGCATGTCAAAGTTAAACTTGTAAAGAAGGAAGACAAATTCTACTTTGATTCAAAGAAATCGGATGTGTTTTCAGTGACTCCGCCAAAACTGACTGCTCTACCTTCAACCAAGGACAAAAACAGAGACAAAATCAGGGAGCTTCTAGTAGAGGGGTTGAGCAAAGTGGCCGGTGAAGTTTCCGACGACAACGGCCACGGACTTAAGGAGGTTGTAGATTCATATGATCCTCATTGTGTGGCTACAGAAGTAGAATCTGCGTTGTTTTCCAAGTGGGGTTTATTTAACGGACCAAAAAAGCGACATACAGGTTGGTGATGTAAATATCAAGGACCCGAAAAACAGGGATTTTCGCCGGAAAGTGCTTCTGGGACAGTTTCCCCCGATGTGCATTGCCGACTTGAGCCCTGAAGAAATGGCAAGTGATGAAAGGAAAAGGCAGAATGAGGAGATTAAGGAGAAAGCGTTGTTTAACAGCGAACGAGGACCTCCGGGAAAGGCTAGTAACGGCGCGTTCCAATGCGGCAGATGCAAGAAAAGAGAGACTACTTACTACCGGTTGCAGACTCGAAGTGCCGATGAGCCAATGACTACTTTTGTAACCTGTACTAATTGCAACAAACGCTGGAAATGTTAGAACAATGTCTTTTGTAAAGTCGTATTTTTATGGGGAAAGTTTCCATAAATCAGAGGGCAATTACACTTCATTCTTTTTTGGGTTATGTAGGGGAAATAAAGTTGTTGTATACAGATTATTACCACGGAGGAGAGGATCAAAACGCCATGGCACTTGGACAATATTGCACCTGCGTACTCAAAAAGAGAGAGAATCAATCAATGATTTTGCATTTCTTACTGCTACATGTTATCTCCTAATTGGCTAGAATCCATACAATTTTGTTGCACTAGGCAAACTATTTCAAAGGGCTGATTTATTAAGAAGAGATGTTTGGTTCAAGTTGTAGTTTGCTGAAAATCCAACTGTTGGGGAGAAACAAACCGTTGAAGAAACGATGGCTTGTGTTATAGAATTTCAGAGGCTCGGAATGCCCCATACTCAGTTTTAAGTCCTGAAGTTTCATAAAATAGATGGAAGGAACTATGTATATAATGGTGATACACAAGTACATAACCGTCTTTGGTGTTATATTTTAGTTGTTGGTATTGAATTCGTATCTCTTAAATCGCCAATTCTACATTTTTTGACGCGGTGATAAGAGTATCGACGAAGATTCCAAATTTTATGAACTCCGTGATGAGCATCACTTATGTCTGAAAAATTCATTAGAGGCCAAAGAGTTTTGTTGATGGGTGTCGAATCCATCAAAGAAATTTTTACCAAGTTAATACTGTAGTAACAGTATATGGGGTCGATCCACAGGGACGGGAGGAATTCTAATTAACCCAAGATGATTCAAAGAAAATATTGTAGAGAGAGTAAAATGAAAACAAAATGTGACCTGCCACTCGGGCGAGGGAGAAATGTCACTTGACAGGGTGAGCATACAGAAAGTTAAATAGAAAAGGAACCTAGGGTCATCCTCCACTCTTCTCTATACAGTTGTGTTATTGTTTTATTTGCTCCTTTTGCATATATGAATTATGTCTGATCGAGCACTTGTGTATCTAAACGTCTGTGTCATTGTTCCAGAAGGTCTCCTAGCATTACAAACCAACTATCTATCTAGATTTCAAATTATACTAAGCCATAAATTACCTAAGCCTCATGTGATCATCCATGTCAAATAACTAAGTATCTTTGTTATTTAGAACCAGAGGTTGTCACTCCCCCTGTCATAGACTTGTTTAAGCAGTTCTAAACTATGTTTGCCGGGCCTGGATTCCATAGTATGCATGCACAATTAGCTAGTTGTTACAGCGACTAAAAGGTTGATTCAATCACTTAAACTAGAAACAATAAATCATATAGGAGCATTACCAAAACATACTTGTATAGATAAGAGGGATTAGACCCTAGAGAGAGTTTAGCTACACATATCTAGAGATACAAAAACACAAGGATGTATTTCTAGGCATTAAACATCAATACAAAACAAGGAAACAATTAAGAGAAGGAGAGAAGAACTTAGGGAATTTACTGTGGCCACCAGGTCACTCCCTCGAGTGAGTCTTCTCACCCTCCCGAGTGGCAGGCAGAACTTGCTGCTTCAAGCTGCTTCGAACACCCCTTCGTGTTTTTATCTAACTCTCTTCCTATTTTACTTCGATATATTTTTCTTGTAGCTTATTGGGTCTACTTATAGGACTTGGAGGAAGATACTTTTTACTATTTTAATCTCCACAAAGTGACCAACTTGGTAGGTTGTTAACTTTGTAAGCAAGTAGAGCAACTTGGAAAATTGAACAACTTGGCCATTTGAGCAACTTGCTTGGAGCAAGTTGCCCAAGCAAGTTGCTTCCATCTTCTTGTTGTCCTCCTTTTCAACCACAAGATTAGCAATAATAAAATTAGCCTCCTTGCTTCACCTCTTAAGTTTCCAAAATCTGATTCTTGAGCCTTCCACTTGTGCGTCTCCTGCTTGGGTTGCGCGCCATCAGCAATAGCAACAACAGTCACCACTCTGGCAAGTAACAATAGTCACTTGCCTGAGTGACAAAAATCTTCCAAGACCTTGCTCTTTCTTTTCTTTAATCCAGCCACTAACAGGAGAAGGAGCATTCAGCAGCTGTATCAGCAGCATGCTGCTGTTCACTCATCATGTTCCCTCCTTATGTCTCCTTCTACTTGCAATGGCGTTAGCAGTCGTTTCTTTTAGCAGCAAGAATTCGGCCTTGACTCTCCCTGATTGACAGCAACAGCAGCAGCCACATCACAGCAGTATCATCAGCAGCAATTGAGGAGTTGCAGCTCCTTCTTCCTATTTTGGATTCCTGATGCATAATACAACAACTTGTGATCATGTTGCAGCCATCTTTACTTCATCAGCAAGACTTTCTCCTCTGGTTCAGCTCCAATTGCTCCTTCCAGCCTGTGATTTCTAGCAGCTCCAATTCTGGTCCTTTTTTAAGTTTTTTTGCACATTTTGACCCTAATTTACGCTGATATTTAACATTGACCCTCTGAGATATCTTAACTACAAAATCACCCGAAAAGTGAAATAATCCTGACTAATTGACACTAAATTATAAGTAGAAATGAGTAAGAAATGCCTGCTAAAACGGTATATATTTTTATGTTATCAGATACCCCAAAACTTGAAGTGTTGCTTGTTCTCAAGCAACATACCGCAAACTCAGAGTTTTGCTGATCTTCTAGCAATCAGATTCAAGCTACATTCCTACTGACCTAGACACAGAAAGACTGACACAGAGTGAAGAAGTGTTATTTTTGAATTTTCATGGATAAGAGTATTGACAGTGATCGAAAAAAAATGTGGCTAAATCAACAGAAGTAAATACAACATTGTATCAATGTTAGTCTCAGATTCAACTCCCTTACTGGACAGATTATACACCATTGTTCATCACAGAAAGGCAGCATCACAGTTTTCCAGTGTGTGTGTGTATATGTCACAGCCAAAATTCAAGTTTTTACCTATCATCCATTTTAAGAATTAACCAATTTAAGAACAAGTGGACATTATTGTGATCAGTACCTATTTTCTGCATGCCATCAACTAGGGTATTCTTACTGAGATTTTTATATTCTAAGGACTTTCTCACAGATTCTGCAGCAACATTGGCTTCATCTTATTTTTCCCTCAACCCTTTTTCTCCTTGTCCATATAGCTTTTCTTCTGGATCTTTCCCATTCAGGCATCTACCCAGAGCATATTTCCACTTAATATTAATTCATAGTGGCTCGGCAACTTAGGGCTTTTCACCCAGAGCATATTTCCACTTAATTCATAGTGGCTCAGCAACTTAGGGCTTTTCACCCAAAACATATTTCCACTTACTCTCTATAGTGATTTCTTACAGTGGCTCAGCAACTTAGGGTAGTTATTCATTTTTTCTCATATTTCCTCACCAGGCCTGAGGACTCTCATCTATTTATTTGCCAAACCTAAACACTCAAGGGTATTACTGCCTCATTGGCAGTCTTCCTATCTTCCTTCATTTATGAATTTTTCTTTTTAGCTCATTACAACCGCTTATCATTCCCCTTTTCCAAGGTTTTTAGGCTTTTACAGACTATCATGGGCTTTTACAGAGTCTGCCATGATGTGAAGGGCTGCCTTAGTCTTCACACAGGTTTACATTCTCCCTCCTCCCCCTTCCCCAGGTTTCAGACAAGTGGACTCCAGTATAAGATCACAATGTAATTAAGGCATTCAGTCTTTAGCATTAAGTTTAGGACTCTCACTATGGCAAGTGACATATTATGCTTGAGAAAGTGAAGAACTATGGGACTGACTTCAAGTGAATCAACAAGTGTTTAAAAATTCAAAATTTTCTGCACATTTTTGAATCATCATGGACTTTTGACACTGTATATACATCAACCTATTCACAGTTGCACACAAACAAAAATCCTGTCAAAGTTTAAAGCACACAATCATACAAATCTCTCCCCCAAACTTAAAATAAGCATTGTCCCCAATGCTTATAAAACAAAGAAAATAGGGAAAGAGCAAACACAAACACTTAGCATGCAATTCGACTGTAAAACAGAAAAATCATCAAGTTGACTCAATCTATCCTAAGGGCTCTAAGACACACAAACACAAGAAAACAAAAAAATCAAAAACAGAATATAAAAGAAAAGAAAAGTAAAAGAGACAACAGAGTACTCCCCTGGGTGATCAAGGTTGCCTTCATTCAAAGGGTAGAGGTGGATTGCTTCTTGGTGCTTATACTGAAACATATGAGGTTAAGTTGCTGTAAACTCTCAGATGTGGTTGAAGAATTTTAGTCCAGCTAGTTTCAGTGAATACTCCACACAAGAATTTGCCAGGTTCTTGTAATGTCATGCCAAAGTTGTAATTGTAAACCAATAAGATCACACAACAAAACGTGTTCCTCGAATACCAAGGGTTAGCTGTGAAACACAAACTAAAGATATCAGAAATTAAGCTCATCAAGTTCCTTGGTTCATACAGTTAAGCACAGAGACCATAGAGAGCAACAAAGCAAAAGCACCGTAGTTCCAGAAATAGATTCGGCTGTTATGAACAATGCTCAGAAAGAACTAGGTGACTCATATCTAACCAAACATTCTAACTCTGAAAATTCTCACAAATCTTGCTAGATATGGCATCAATGCTTATAAAGATATTAGAAGTTTACCCCAGTCTAAAGTCTAGCAAGTACACATTAAGCACACAAAATTTCAGAATCAACAAGCTTGTAAGGGATATGACATAAAAAAGATGTCTCAAGAATCTAAAAGATAGAAAACAGGGAGGGATAACAAATATATGGGTGGGTCTTTAAAAGAAACCGATTGCCTTCAAATATCAAGTAGGTTCAGAGTCACTCTGCCGAGTGACGTGAGTCACTTCCCAGAGTGTCTTAAAGCTTTCAGCAATAAACACACAAAATTTCAAAGTCAACAGTTTCTGTGTTCAAAATTCACCAAATCTAATTTAGAAACAAAATGAACTACAACCAATATGCATGAACAAATCAAACATCAATTCCCCCAAACTTAAAACAAAGCACAAATCCTATGCA